ATCCAGAGTTTGGTGAAAAGACTTCTGGTGTTTTTGTTTCCAGAGGGGAGCTCTTAAATTGCTGTCATTTGGGGTTTCTGGACTGTGGTGAAATTCTCCTTTAAGAAGTCTTTACTTTTGATAATCAGGATCATTACAAGTTCCAAAGGCACCTCTCCCCCCAAAACAGTGCTGTTCTTTCCTGTCACCATTTTCTGACCTGGACCATGCTCTCTGTGGTGAGTGCCCCTGCCTGCACCCACTTGGCACTTTTTTGCTTGTTTATATTACCTAACCCTCGAATCTTTCCTTCAGTCCACACTGGGACCCAAATACTCTGCGGTTAGTATTCTCAATGTTCCCCTGGCTGCTTACGCTGCCTTTCTGCCTTGATACAAGTGCATTAAACATCACAAAAGGTGCTTAACCGAGTGGAACGAGATGGGATGTTTGTGCTTAGAGAAGGATCTCTAAACAGACTGCAGCTTCTAAAGCAGGAAATTAAAAATTTGAGAGGGAATCTGAGATAGAACTATTTGGTATAGCCCAGAAAAGAGTTTCCACAAAAATGCTGCAACTGAACTAAAGAGATGGCCAGGGCCCTCTGGAATATAATGAGGTCACCTGCGTGGTTTTTGTCCTCAACTTCTCTGCCTGGCCTGAGGACAGAGAAATCTGAAGAAGGGTAGTGACTGGCCTCTTCTAGTTCCTTTTAATATATTGTCCAAGCCCAGCCTTCTTGTGTGCCTTCGTGATGAAAATGGTACCCATGAAAGCCACCGTGGTGCATTCTTGCTGACAGTGTTCCTTCTTTCCAATTGTCCTTGGATTCCACTGGGAATCCCTGAGATTCCTGAGCAGTTGATGTGTTCTATGGAAGGTACACATAACCTGTGCCAAACTGATTATTCTCTTCAGTGATTAATTCAGAGAAAATTGTGTGCAATAAACCAATCCAATCCAAGTACATCTGGATACTTCTAATAGAAATTCTGGGATATAGATTTTCTCTCTTGCTGTGAATGGCATGGTGTGCAATGTAAGGTATATAGCTTACCCTTTGCCAAAGGATAAGGCCAGGATATGGAAGAAGACAGAGCTGAGAGACTTGTAGAGAGATGGAACTGGCACCCTGTTCAAACTGTGCCTGTAGTCCACCCTACCACAGGACTCTTATTAAAGTTCTTAGGAGAGCCAATGCATTGAAAGACAAACAATTATTCATTGTTTAAGTCAACTGGAGTTAAAGTTTCTTTTACTTACAAATAAAAGTGTATTAACTAAGATATTTATAGATCATACTTTAGTTATCAGAGCACTTTTTCAGTTGATGACAGTTGAGCCTAAATCAACCCTTTGAGTTAGGGAAAGCGTAGTTGTCATTTTCATTTTATTCATGTAACTTCATGCCTTCTGACTCCCAATTCTGAGTCATTCTCATAGCATGACTGTATCAAAATAACATTCATCCCAGTGAATTCCAGCAGAAGCACAAAGTTCTATGACATTTTATCGCCTATCTCTCCCCCACATCTTGTTTTAATAAAACCCACATTTTCACTTTTTCTTTTCTATCCTCCCTTGTGACTAAAATTTGCCTTATGTTCTGTTTCTGGCCAATTAGACTTAAATGAAGTCCCTTAGAGAGATCTTCAGGCTACTCCAGGAAAGGATTTTTTTTTCTTTCCCTGCTGTCCCTACCCATCCTATTTTTGAATATGGCCATGATGCTGAGGGCAATAGTAGCCCTCTTGTGAGCAGCATGAGGAAGTGAGTCAGTTTACCAAGGATGGTGAACAGAAAGAATGGGAGAGTCTGGTCCTTGATGACACCTGAGGCAGGTGACCCAATACCCACACAACCCCTTCCTCCGGAATTCTGGTTATGTAAGAAAAGTAACTCCTATTTGTTTAAGCCACAGTGAATCAAATTTTCCGATATTTACAGCCAAAACATTTGTAACTCAAACAAACTGGTGTCTGGCATGATGAGCCAATTTTCCTTTGAAGGAGGAGTTCTGGCCAATGTGAGCCAATATTCCCTTCAAACAGTATTGATGCATTCAAATCAAAGTACAGGAAGCTGGGAATTTGACAGTTAATTTTGCACTCTCATGGTGTCTTCTCACATTCATCCTGTCCCCCTGGGGACCCTCAGGCCCACAGTAGTTTCTATGGTCAACACTGTATCCTTTCCTCTTCTTTCCTCTTTGGTATGATCTTGTAATTACTAGACCAGCTACCCAAACTGTACTGTCATTAAGACAAGTTAGTGGGAGTAACAGTTTGTTCTTCCCTGAGACATATGATTTATATATTCATGATTCCTTTAGGAGCTCAAAGTGCTCTTATTTCTCTTTAACCACCCAGTCTGCTTCTGAAGTCCACAGGAAGATGGCGTTTAAGACTAAGGAAAATATACAGACTGGGGTGGGGTAGGGAGACCTGATCCTGTGGAATAGAATCTTCTGTTATCTTAATTGGTTGTCTGCTAATGATAGTTACTTAATGCCATATTTTGTGTTTTGTTGAGATAGGCTCTCAGTTGACTGTTGGAGAAAGTGATGCAGAGATACTAAGTTGCATTTACTAGAGCCTTGAAGCAAATGGGTAGGACCAAAAAGAGGTCACAAAGCCTATTTCCCAGTGGAGAGATGTCTTTGCTCCTCCAAATATTTTTTGTTTGATTTCAGGCTTATGTGACCATCCTCTTGACCACTGAATGCCTGCTTGTTGTAAATAACCTGTTGGTGTATTGGTTTTGATGAGGAGAAACAAGAGCTTCTCTAGTGGAGAAAACCCACAGATATAACCTGCAGGGAGTCCATTAAGACCTTTGGAGAGAAATCATGCTGGCCTTCTGCAGACTCAGGTGCTCCTCTTTGCTCAGCAGTATAGCGGGGCACCATCCATATTGGCAGTTGGGGCCAGAAGGGGATGCAGTGGGTGTCTAGTGTGGGAAAGTCACACTGTCCATCTCCTATACCAGTATCTACAGAGATTCTCCAACCATGATCCATCCAGAGTCCTGGAAACAATCACAGATTGACAGACAAAGAGGCCCTAAGTGCACAGACACCAAAAGCCTAGTTTTATTTCAGATGCTCATCAGAGGGAAGGTTCTCTTCCTGCATTTTTTTCTGACATTCATCTTTCTGAAAGACTGAAGAAATCCTGATAGTGTATAGGGATAGACAGAAACACTTTTGAGGGGGGTGTGGGGATATTCTGAAGTGTTGACTAATCCATCCACACTGGGTTATGGCCGCTAAAGTCTTCCTCTCTCTTGAACAGAAATATATGCTTCTAACTCCTTTTCAGGATCATTATTAAAAAGTAAAAGTAAATAGTTCATTGTAACTATAGATGTATCTGCAGATGGTATAAGCAGAAATGGTCTATCTAATGCATACCATGCAGAGCAAACTCATTTAACCATTCATACATCAGATATTTATTTAGCACATATTATGTGCCAAGTACTATGTTTGGACTATGGGGAAAAAAGGACAAAGACATGGCTTCAGACTTCAAGAATGTTTCTAATTAGGTTAGGACAGCATGGCAACCCACTCCAGTATTCTTGCCTGGAAAATCCCCATGGACAAAGAAGCCCGGTGGCTACAGACCATGGGGTCACAAAGAATTGGACATGACTGAGTGACTAAGCACAGCAATTGGATTGATGGAAAAGTCAAAATAATTACAAGACCCTTTACCATCAGGAACATCCTAATGGAAAAATAAATGCGTACTTTTTACTCTGAGTATTCCCTTAGCCTTGAAATCTATCCCAGTCAGCCTAGTTGCTTTTATTCTTGAATTTCCTTTTCTGTCTTCTTGATTTTGTTCCTTTGTCTCTCCCCATTGAGATCATAAGCCTAATTTTAGTTCCCAGTCATTCTTTAATATGGTTACTCGGGTAAGCAGTCTGTGTTTGAGGTTTTTGCTCTCCTGTGATATGTCATACTTAATTAACTGTCATCTTCACTATTAATATTAACTGAGATATTAATTTGATGGATTTTAATTTCTCTTAATCATGGCATCATTTTGAGCCTTCATTGGATACCTCTTTAGAATGACACACAGTGCAGAGGAGAAATATTAATAGTATATTAAGGTATTTTTTAAAAACTCTTTAGTATTTGCATGTTTTCCTGGTAGGAATATCTGTTTCTTGAACAGGTGTGGGAACCCTGATTTCCTTGTTAGCAAATGATTGTTTTGTCTTGATCACCTCCTGACTCTGTTTTGCACTTTCCAATGAAAATACTTTCAAATTTAAGAAATGTTTCTCTCTGGAAGAATTCTCCAGGGTCTTCTGCATTATCTAACTGGTGAGGGCTCTGTACTATTAATGGAGTCATCGAAAATAAAAATTTGGTCTTTTCCTGTGGAAGCAGAGTGTGGAGAGCTGGTACCCAGGAGGAAAGTGCCGAGTCCAAGGGCAACTGAGCCATCAGAAGTCTGATCCATTGGCAGACTGTTCTTTCTCTTTTTTTTTTTTCTTCTCATTTTCTCTGCTCTGTTTCTCTTACCTTCCCACCCCCCTTTCCTGTTTCCTCTCAATCAGTAAAAAAGATTTCATTAAAAAAGAATTCCTCTGCCCTTGCCACACATCCTGACCCCTATGTATTAATATATTGAAACACTGATGAGGATGGCCATTGGACTGCCCCCCCCCAACCCTCCATGTCTTTGCAGCATAACTGACATGGAGAGTAAATTTGGTGCATTTTTTAGGATGAATCCCATTACTCAAGTCCAGTCACCTGGATGCTGGAGGCTCAGGGAAGAATCATTCCCAGCTCCCTGTTTCTGACATGGGCAAGTAATGCTGAATAAATGCTGCTCTCAGGACCTTCAGTTCCCTCATGAAAGGGAGAGTAACAGGAACTCTCCTTCCTTCCCCAGACCCTGGATCATGGCAGGGAGCATTCTGAGACCAGGCATCAGATGGTCAGGGAAGACAAAGACAAGCAGAGTCACATGGGCAGCTTGCACTTGTGACCTACTCACCTCCAGGTACACCACCCAGGGCATTACCAGGGTGGCCACCAGCAGGTCCGCTACAGCCAGGCTCACCACCAGATAGTTGGTGGTGGTCTGCAGGGCGCGTTCCTTCAGCACAGCTACACACACCAGACCATTGCCAAAGACGATGGCCAGGATGAGTGCGCAGTAGGAGAGGGCATAGTAGGCGTGTGGGCGGGCCCGGCCGGCCCCTGTGGAGTTCTCTGCTGCACAGGTCGTGTTGATGTGGCTCCCCAGCTGGTTGAGAGGTGCCATCGCCTGGAGGGAGCAGGGTAACCCCCACACGTTTCCTGGGAGGAGATAAACAATGTTTGTCAAGTTAGACTCTTTGGAGTTTTACTTGCTTGGGTACATTTTTCAATTTATTTCTTCAACAGATATTTTATTGAGCACTTTCTATATGCCAGACACTATTCCAAGCCCTGGATATACAGCACTGAGAAAAGGGATAAAAATTCCTGCCTTTGTGAAGTCTCCATTCCAGAGGAGAAGACAGTAGTAAGATAAGTAAAACACGTAGTATGTTTGATGAAGGTCTTCACAGGTGGCAAAGTGGTGGCTCTTGCCAATGCAGGGGATGCAGTTTCCATCTCTGAGTGGGGAAGATCCCCTGGAGAAGGAAATGGCAGCCCACTCCAGTATTCTTGCCTGGAGAATTCCACAGACAGAGGAGCCTGTAGGCTATAGTTCATGGGGTCACAAAAGAGTCGGACACAACTTAGAGACTAAAAATCGACAACAATGTGTTTGATGATGATATGTATTTTGAAGAACAATAAATTAGGGAAGGAGGTGAGGACAGGGTGAGGATTGTGTGTGTGTGCAATTCTCTGCTAGTGTGGGGAAGTCACAGTGTCCATCTTTTATACCAATATCTAGATGGACATTGTGACTTTGCCACACTAGACACCCAATAGGGGGTCTGAGTGCAGTTTTTAACTTGAGTAATCAGGAAGCCCTCAGGGAGATGGTGACAACTGAGTCATGACTTGGAGGACCTTAGGAGGCTGACTACACAGAGCCAAGCAGGAGGAACAGCAGGCACAGAAGGCAGCAGATGGTGGATGGAAGGGGCTGCAGGAAGACCAGTGTGCCTGGAGCCAGGTGAGGCAGGGGCAGAGTGGAAGGGTGTGAGGCTTAGCATGCACGGCCCTTGAAAGAACCTCACTTGGACTTGGAGTGAGCTGGTTAACCGCTGCAGGATTACAACCCCAACTCTACTACTTCCTAACTCTGGGGACTTGGGCATGTCACTTCACCTGTGCTTCATTTTCCTCCTCTGTAAAATGGGGAAATAATGGAGCTCGTACAAATAGGGATTTTGTGAAGATTAAATGAGTTATAATATATGTAAGACATTGACAGCCATGCCCAACACCTAGAAAGTGATGTGTCAGCTCTTTTCCTCTGATTGGTCCTTTTCTCTTGGCTTCCCACTCCCCTTTCCTTGTTCCCCTCCCGCTCCACCGCCCTCCCATTGCCTGCATTTGCCTTCTCCCCTGCCTCCCTCTGTCTCTCTAACTTCCTTCAGTCTACCATTCTTTCTCTTAGGTCTTAGGTAGTAGGACATGGTGGTTTTGGAGACTGGATTATGGGAGAAAATCTGAAGAGTAATGGGGTTTAGAGGCAGCATAGTGGTTTTTATATTTAGGAAAAATCTATGTGTGGAATTTTATTTGAAACCTCCTAATTATTTCATTTTATGTTTTTGGCTGTGCTGCGCAGCTTCTGGGATCTTAGTCCCCAGACCAGAAAGGGAAGCCACGCCATGGCACTGAAAATGCTAGGTCCTAACCACTGGTACGTGCATGCTAAGTCGCTTTCTGTCAGACTCTTTGTGACCATATGGACTGCAGCCCGGCAGGCTCCTCTGTCCATGGGATTCTCCAGGCAAGAATATTGAAGTGGATTGCCATGCTTTCCTCCAGGGGATCTTCCTGACCCAGGGATTGAAACTGCGTCTCCTGTAGCTCCAGCATTGCAGGCTGGTTCTTTACTGTTGAGCCACTGGGGAAGCCCCCTAACCACTAGATAAATAGGGAATTCCTCAAACTTCCTAATTTTTAAAGACTCATTACTACTTTAAAAAAATATTTAAGCATTATGAAGTCTCCCGTTCCCCCCCCCCCAAAAAAAAATCCCACATCCATGGGTCAATGAACCATATCACCAGTTTTTGATCTCTGACCTAGTTTAGTGCCCTCACTTTTCAAACAGGGAAATTGAGGCATAGAGAGATTAGTAACATATCTTAAGTCAATCAGCTTCTTAGGGAACCTGCATGCAAGCCTTCCAATGCTCTTCTTTGGCATCTGAAAGCCATAGTAGCTGTCATATTATTACCCATTAGGAAAAGCCAACATGTTTGACATAGAGTGGGAAAGGCAACAGAGCCCATCAGCTGGCCAATGACACCAATCTGTTGGGGCCAGAAGGGACTCTGGGCCCTTAAAGCTAGGTGTGTGTGTGTCCATGGAAGGCAAGAGGGAAATGCCTTTGTGCCAAGGGTAGAAGTGCCTTTGGTCTGGGAAGATCCCACATGCCACATGCTGGGGAAGCACAAATCTTGTAGCCTATAGCATGACCCTGAGACCTGGGCAGAGTGCTTCCCAGGGGCTCTGTGCTTCCAAGGCCTTCACTCTGACCCCATCTGGTCATAACCTCCCCAGAGGATGAAGTTGTGTCTTCCTATGGCACCAAAGAGCAGAACCACCCAGAGTCCACACTCCCTTTCTAGACTATACTCTTTATCTATCTATCTATCTATCTATCTATCTATCTATCTATCTATGTGTATATGTGTATATATATGTATGTGTACATATGTAATTTAATTAATTTATTAATTTATGGCTGTGTTGGATTTTCATTACTGTGCAAGCATTTTTCTAGTTGTGGCAAGCGAGAACTACTCTGTAGTTGTGGTGTGCAGGCTTCTCATCTCACTGGCTTCTCTTGTTGTAGAGAATGGGCTGTAGGGTATGTGGGCTTCAGTAGTTGCATCTCCTGACTCTAGAGCACAGGCCAGATAGTTGTGGTGCACAGGCTTTATTGCTTCGTGGTATGTGGGATCTTCCCAGACCAGTGATTGAACCCACGTCTCCTGCATTGGCAGTAGGATGCTTTACCACTGGACCTCCAGGGAGGCCCTCTAGACCATACCCTTGATATTAAGATCATAGGATTCTCTGCCCAGACTGCTTGGACCCTATTTCTAGGGCAGCACGGGCCTCATTTTGGATTTGTCACCCTGAAGGAAGACCGTGGCATATGTTTGGGACCCATGGGCTCCTGGGGTAGCTGTTTGGGGGAGTTTGGTTGAATAGCTTGGAGGTAACCTGAGATGGGGAGAGAAGACAGAGTCCCTGGGACAGGATGGGGAGTGGGGTAGTTTCTCCTGCCTTCTCACATTTTGTTTGGCACTCTTAAGGCCCGGGAATCCCAAATTCAAACCTGGCCTTCCAGATTGTTGAAAAGGTACCTTTATTAAGGCAGGAGGAGTAAACATTTCCTTCAATACTGTTTGTTAGTTATAAATAAACTATGTAGACATGGAGTATATGGGCCCCCATGGGAATTCTTGCTCCAGGCCCTAGCTTGGTGGCCAGGATTTGCTCTCAATTCTGCTAACTCTAGCTCTCCTTTGATTTGGAGATTGGCTTACTCCTGGCTGTCATTTTGTATCTCATTTTGAATGTTTCAGCCTGGAATGTGAAAGTGTTAAAGTGAACAAATAATTGTAAGGGGCGAGTGGTTTGGAATGAATTCAGAGGATTGTTTAAAAAAAAAACAAAACACAACATTTTTTATCTTGGCACACTGTTTGCACTAAATATATTTTAAAGCATAATAATAATTTTTGATAATAATTATAATTTTCTCATTATTCGGAGAAGGGCAGCCAGTACCCTGGAGATAGCACTGTTACTGCCAAGAGCTTTTGGAAAAATACAAAGCTTTCTGATTGTTCAAGGGTATTTTCACCTTTGAGACAGGCTCAGGTCTGGAACGTTTTTGCTTCTGCAGCTGGGCCATGTTGGAAATCAGTGGCCAGGAATCACATTTTCCTGGGGTCTGCAGTTGGGTAGTGATGTCTTGGCCTTATCTCATCTTTTGGGTAGGAGGGAAGCATAAAACCTTGGGATATTTGTTACCATTGTGCTGGACATTTTACTCTGCTAAGGTTTGGCAGCTACTTAAAAATAGCACAGCTGAGTGTCAGTGACTAATTATATGAAGGGAAACCCTTGACTCTGAAAATCAATTCTGAGCCTGATGTTGGAATCACCATTACAGTTTCTGATTTACTTACTTTTTGCGTTACACTATCTCTAGTCTTAGATTCTTTAGCGTAGCTGTAGGGTAAGTCTTGGTTGCCCAGGCAGTTCCTGATGGGTTGTGGGTGTGGGAGATGAAAGCAGAGAATGACTGAGATGCTAGGTTACCCCCTATTTCTCAGCTAATTGTTTCAACTTCCTCCCTCCTTAGATTTTATTTAGAATTTTTCTTTTTTAACCAGCACTGCTTATATAACACAGAACAGGGCTGGGTTTTCTCTTTTCTTTCTTCTTTTGATAGATATGCTGTCAAGTAAACTGATCTCAGGTAGGAGAAGTAAAGAGTCTAGAGAATTTGTGAACTTAATATTCACTCTCTAAGTGGACATCCCTGGTGGTCCAATGGTTAGGAATCTGCTTGTCAATGTAGGGAACAAGGGTTCAATCCCTGATCAGGGAAGGTTCCACATACTATGGGGCAACTAAGCCTGGGTGCCAGAACTACTGAGCCCATACTCTAGAAGCTATATGCTGCAACTACTGAAGCCCACACATGCTAGAGCCCATGCTCTGCAACAAGAGAAGTCACTGCAATGAGAGGTCCATGCACTGCAACTAGAGAGTAGCTCCCTCTTGCTGCAACTAGAGAAAACCCACACACAGCAATGAAGACTCAGCCCAGCTGGGGGAAAAAGTCACTCTCTAAGTCAGTCAGTTCAGTCACTCAGTTGTGCCTGATTCTTTGCAAACCCCATGGACTGCAGCACGCCAGGCCTCCCTGTCCATGGCCAACTCCCTCATGTTCATGTTGAGTAACATGAGTTACTCAAACTCATGTTCATTGAGTTGGTGATGCCATCCAACCATCTCATCCTCTGTCGTCCCCTTCTTCTCCTGCCTTCATTCTTTCCCAGCATCAAGGTCTTTTCCAATGAGTCAGTTATTCGCATCAGATGGCCAAAGTGCTGGAGTTTCAGT